TTTTTTTTTAAAACAACCGTAAAGTAATACCCCAAAACTAAAAAGAAAATCATCATGTTTCAAACACTTACATTACAAAGGAATCTGCAGCTTAGCATTGATAGTAAGAGACATTTTAATAAAGCACAAGGGAAGCGTATAAAAGAAAAGAGGCGGTACCAAGAGTACAACCATGTGGAGCTCCTGATTTAACTATTGCTGATGAAAATTTACACGTTAGTTTTTGCCGCAGAAATAATTCTGAAAATGTTAAGCATGCAGCAATCCACATTTTTTCCCCCACTTCAGATCAGACTGTGATACTCTAATCTGCAGCTCCTGATGCTTTCCTTGCCAGCGCTCTATTTCCTTTGTTTTCATCATTACTTTTCATTTCTGTCATCAGCTGCTCTCTACAACCAATTATTTGTATGAATGTAGACATGAACGTCCCAATAGATTCATATAAGGCCTTAAAAACAGTACGTCATGTCATCCTGAAAACAAATATGTAACTCTAAGGGTTCAGATTGATGGAATTTATTAAATCAAAGCCATTCTCATAAAGGGGTAAACTTTTCTGCTAATCAAGAGATTCTATTTACCGAACGTTTATTTGTTATAGAGATAGGGTGAACAGATTTTCCACTATAGATCGGGCCTTCAATATCGGGACCAATACTGATATTTATATCAGTTCGGTCCGTCTCTGTTCCATGTATTCCGGATGGAAATCCTCCTGTCTGCTTTCTAATGGGTAAATAATCAGTATTACGCAGGAAGCCAATTATAACAGCTGCATTATCTGTTTGTTCTTTCATTTCTTTAATCCATACTGAGCCTTTCAATAAGGTTGCATTAATAAAGGTGTGTTGCTGCTGCTGAGTGTGTAGTTATACTTCTATTCCCCTTGTTGACATACACACCGGCGGGCTGACGTGGGTCATTTGGATGTTTTCCACGACACACCCGACAGACTTCAGTTTAGTTTGGTGAGGCCAGAATAAACTGGGATCACTGAGCCATTAAGTGGCTTTAAAAAAAAAGAGTTTCTGGAT